ATCGATCGATCGATCGATTATGCATATTACTTACCTCAAACTAATTCAATCTTAGTGTTCGTTTTTCTTTCAAAGAAAAAAAACAAATTTCCGACTAATATATCAAATAACTGTTCCAATCAAACAAATTGACATTTGATGAAATAACAAATGGGACACATTACAAAAAAAAATTTGAAGAAATTACGTAATTTAAAATTAGAAAAAATTTTTTTAAAATGAACATAAACAATAATTTTGAATAAGAAAAGATTATTCACATATTGGCTGGAAGGAAGTGATATTTTCACAACGAATAAGTAAAAAGGTAAAAAAGGTATAAAAAAAGAACAACTTTGCTTCCGTACATTGCGCATATATTATGAGGGAGAGGGAAAGGGTGGTAGTAGAGCAATTGCGAGCACCTTTTTTATTTCTCCTTTAAAAATTCATATATTACGCAAAACTTACTGTATATCAAATTCGTATCATTTTACCATTTATGATACAAATTGAAAGTTAAGAAAGAAGGAAGAAAAATAAAAGAAGTTAACCAATACTGTACTTCTTCATTGGATGATGACACTTATTCTGTGGGAATTTTAGCTCTTAGTTGGAATAAATAAACGATAATATAAAATTTTTGGAAAAGATTGGAAATTTGAAAAATAATTGATTAATGGTTAAAAATGAATGAAATGAGATTTACAGGAGAGATTTATAAATGAGAAAGATTAATTAATAATTCTTAAGAGTGAAAAAAAGTTAAATGTGTAAATTAGAATGATATTGAATGTTTGATAATTATGACCTCTACTGCTACTCTTCAGGTATGTTTTTTTTCTATTGAAAGCAAGATTAGAGGAGTCTTACGACACGAAATGCAATAGCAACAATAATAATACGAAAATGATACGACATTCTCAATGCAATCCACATTCACACATCAATTTTTAATGCCTCCTTCATTTTCATCCATCCCACTAACACTCTTTGTATCAATCTCCTTTTGCAAATAACTTTTAGCTTATGTATCGTTGAAATCTTTGATGTTGATTTGATGATCTCTACTTTGAAATATAATCAAAATTTCGATCATCGATATTTCAAGTCTTCCACATTTTCATCTTATATTTTAAGAAATATTATTTGATAGTATTAATTGCATCTAAACTTACCTAACCATTATGCCTTTTTTATATGGTGAAAATTTTTAAAACAGAAAATTCTCTGCGAATAAGACTAATAATATTCTAATACCAAGGAATAGCTCTATTGGGAGAAGTTTCTGGAAGAATCTAAAATCTACTAAACAGTCAAGTACAAAATATGCAAAACCTCAATCGTCAAATTCATTGATCTTTTATGGGTTAAAAAAAAGCTCTTCGGTGAGATAGTTTTAGATGGCTGATGATTTGTGAGAGAGGAACGAACGGGAAAATTTCTTACTATGAAGAGGGCAAAAGGGGTTGACTTGAACAGCGTGTGGCCGATCTACCTGTACAACCATACAAAGTAGAAGCACAACGACTGGAAGATTTCATGTCATCGTTATCGTTATCGCCTCCTTCACTCAAAACTGGTTCTGGGTGTACTCGGCCACTCAATACAGCCAGACAATCATCACAAATGGTGGTACATAAAACGACAATTCAACCACTTTTTTTTTGAAATTAGCAATCCGGAATTACCTGTTTTATTAGAGCCTTAAATCATCATTTGAAGACAATGAATATTCGATTTGGAAACAAACTCTGAATTTATGGGATAGAATACGATGAAGTTGGCTTATTTCATGATTCTATTCAGAATACTATAGTCATTTCTATGAATGCAAAAAGTAATTTCCTTATTTGCAAAAAGTAATTTTCTTATATTTTCTTATATAACAACTTATATATTAAACATTCTTAAATCCTAAATAATCAAATGTTATAATTCACAGTACCTTTTAAACAAGAAAGATTTATGGTAATTTATGATAACTACGAAGTTCATTTTACTATCACTTGATGATAACAATATGTTCAAAATCTGTTTATTTGAAGCTAAAACTGATACTCCCATTCAAATTGAAGCTAAGATAGAAAATATTTTGCCGGATTTGAGGAACCGTTATGAAGAGGGTAATTTGCTTCTGCAACGCTGCAATTATCAAAATATCATCAAATATGAAAAAATTGCATGTGGAACGTTAATTTTGCGCCATTCGTATATTCATAAACAATGATGGAATGATTCGACGCAGAGTTAGTAACAAGCAGTAGTGTCAAAAGGTTGAAAAACATTTTAAATCAACTTTTAAAAGGCAATCAACTTACACTGTTGCTGCTGCAGCAAAAAAAAAAAAATACAAAGCTTCCTACAACGATGAAAGAAGGAGACTAATTTAAAACTATTCGGTTAAGATAATCAATAATATCGATATCATATTATGATGAAAGTTACTGTCTTCGGGAGATTGCTAATAATTTCCCACTACAATATCTGTGACAATACTTGTTGCTGCTAACTTAGTGAATTATCCTTTTATCAGTAATAATAAAGAGTAAAACTTCCTGATATTGCAAGTAAATTATTGAACCATAGCTGAAAACATACAGGTTCGGTAGAAAACAGTAGAAATAGAAGTGATCAGTTAGACAGAGTGCTATAAGTTTTTTCACTATTTGTTATTTTCATTGGGTTAAAACTCAAATGATATTCAAGGCAAGAAAATGTTCCGGAAATTTAATGGTTAAGCAGAAGAGAGAAATACTATCCTCGAATCATCGATCAATGGACTTATACGAGTGACTGCATTGTCTTGCCTTCTGAAGTACGAGTACCATTAGCATATGTGCGCTTCTTGTCGCAAAAATAGTGCAAGGAATTCAATTTCATTCACGGAAATGAATAAAGGTAGTAAAAAGATTGCAGGGAATGTTTTACTTAAAAATTACTTAAAAAACTAATCAGTGCTTACTGAGATTATAAGTATCTTTTAGGCAGACAAATAATCAAAAAGATCGAAAATTGCAGACTTTAAAAAAATTCAAAAAGCAATCAGTACGTATATCGAAAATTGGTATTGCTATGAATCAGAATGAAAAGCATATTTACACATACATACATACATGCAAATATAGACAGACACAGACACATACATACAATACATATATGTAAGGGTGTATGTATGTGTCTGTACTCTCCATAAAATATTATAGGGATGACAAAATGAAGTTACACAACAGGTGTGCTGATGAGAAAAGCTTAGTTTAGAAGGGACAGGAAAGATAGATCATATATATATCAGGTAGCATCAAATAATAGCAACAGAGGCAAACGGTATCGATGATCGAATTATCGATAATCTAACAAGCAATGAAGAGGATAGATTGAACGGTCGAAACTTCTACACATGGATTGTTTTTCCATGGATCTCTTTCTGGAAATATACACATACATACACTTGCCGAAAAAGAGCCGCAATATTGTTCATTGCTAAAGCCGTCCTTTATTCGATTTGATCTACCGTTTAGATCTGTCATAGATGGAATGGAAATTACATCATGTTTATTCATCTCATCTTTAACAATTGTTCAGTCCCATAGAATTCTGCTAAAATCAATTCGATTTTCTTTTCGATGATATTACCTTAAGGTAAATGAAAGCATTATCGGGCAGAATAAAACGTTTGAAATATATTCGAACGATGATCAAAATATTTCTTGTTATTTCTTGCAAAACCGATATTAATCTTCTTCTGGCTCTTACTGATAAATAAATGTAATAAAATAATGAAGACGAAATAGCACCAGCTGCCATCAAAAAGTCTAATCCATTATAAATTTAAGCATTGCTTCAATGACTTATTCATTAAATGTATACATCACTTGTCTCATGTTTGTTCAACAAAACTGTGAAATTTATAATGGGATAATTTTTAAGTTCAATAATTTTGTACATTAAGATGTACGATCGGTTATGTGATGTAATTGTACATGATGTATTTCGTATTGCATGACTAATAAAATTAATGGAACAGTGATGGGCTCCATTCTGTGACCGACATATTGGAGACAGCCATCCATTTGCACCATTGTCATGCTTTTATTATAAAAGATATTGAAATCCTAATATCGCGAATAATAAATTGATGCAACAAACATAATAAGTGAATAAATGACTAAGAAACTGAAATGAACTATTAAAATCATCCGATTGTGAATTCCAAAAATAATTCAGGAATAACTAATTTTTGCGAAACCTAAATCTTTCGAGTGCTTGTGTCTTGGAACTGTTTCGGATTTCCTGAATTGCTTTTCCCTGACTGCAATTCATCTAATATATTAATGATGAGTTTAAAAAATATGTTAACTTTTGTCTAATAATCGCATATTGTTAGTTCACTATCTAACAAAACTGAAAATTCATGCTCGTTTTATGTAGAATTTGAATTAAAATAAGGGATAAGACAGAGATTACTTTTAATGTTTATTTATCCTAAGACAGAAGAAATCTGAACAAATGTAGTTCGTGCATAAATCATCTGGGCGAATATCATACGTACATTTATTCATTAAACATTTCAGATAAAGCGCTAAAGCATAAAGTTATAAGATTCTAAAATGTATGGGGAAAGATGTATATATACATGTATACAAGTAGTAATTAAAACACTAAAAAATTGTGCCCTGTCAGAAATTTCCAACTGACGAGAAAATATTACACCTCTAATAACAAAAATCTTTCTACACTGACTGACTGGTTAATATCAAAACGACTTCTTTATAAAGCACTACAATATACTGAAAATACAGTTTCAAAAATTAGGATTTCACTGAGGTAAGGAAACTTCATAAACGGAAAATTCCAACCAATACTTTTGTTTCATACCTGAGCTAAATATAAGAGACAGTTCGCTTCACTCCTTTGTATTTGATACTGTAATTAGCAACATACAAATCAAGCTTAAGTAAAATATAACCAATGTATGAAAACCTCAAAAACTGATTTCGAAAAGATGTATAAAAACTATTTCAGTCCATATCAAGGAGCAAATAATGGGAACCAATATTCGGTTGCTGCTGCGTGTACCGCTCATGTCGAGTACATTTTGGACACCGCTGTTTTTCCAAACAGTTCTTATGGTATACCGAAAAACATTCCAGACACTAAAATTTCCGCAAATTGGTATGTGTAAAATTTATATTTATGATATTTGAAAAACAGATTCTAAATTATTAAAATCATCAAATTTTGTGCCATCGTAGTATCTACTCTTCTAATTAAAGATAATGCAGTATAAAGAGGTAGATCTCATCTTGTATTATACATTAATAATATCTGCAAAAATTTTTCTGCCCACAGCAGTATAAGCTACAAAAATCACTATTGTAAAGGCAAATTTAACAAGTCAATAAATCTCAAAAGTTTAGTAAATTAATAAGTTATCTATCTACAATAAAAATACGAGTGCAGAACTTACTCGCGATGTGACTTCCAGCTGAAATGGATAAATCACTTCGGCAGAAGAACAAATTTCACATATGAAACCTTTCTGAGAACATAGCAAACATTGCCGAATGTGTTCTGCGGTGAAATTTAATAAATTGTTCAAATGATTTTCCATATACCCTGACAATACCGTTAACAGATCCTGAAAAATTCATTGTTCTGTGGAAAAGCAAAAATTCCTTTGAAAGTTGATTAAAAAAATATCCAATTCAGATACGATATTGAATTTACTTCTATCCGATCCCTAATGTAAAAACAAAACTTATGAAAAATGATCTGTTTTCAAAAAGGAATGCTTTGGAGTTTCATTTTTCTTTTTTTTTCTTCGACTCTGTCCTTACAATCCGAGTCACCCTTTGGGTGTGGGAAAAAGTTATTTAAGTATCCTGAACAATGCGGCACAATGCAGTAACTTGCAAAATGTAATATAAATTTTGCCCACATGGTTTGATTTGCTAAGAATTTAAACTTCAATTGCCATAAAAAGTTCATTACATAAACCTTTAAAGTTGAAAAATGTTTTTTTTATCAATTATATTCTTCATTAATTCAAAAAAAAGCATACTGTGAATGAATACAAATGGATATCTTTGTAAAGATAATCTTTGGGCCAAACGCGATTTTCCAAATCGTCAGCGACTGACTTCCGACATGACTGCAGATACATTGCTGACAACGACAATTTTTCCCTCAGAAACTAAAAAAATTTCATCAACAAATGAAGATATACTAATTTGATTTTTATACCATCGAAATTACCAGTACTGTCAATCAACTAACGTTGTACAACTATTAGTTGTGGTCTAAAAAAAAATGAACGCATACCATCCTCGAAAAAGGGCTGACCAATACTTTTTTAAAAAGTTTCAAGTACAATGGTTCAAATTTTCCAGGACTAACTTGATTTCTAAAACAATATCTGTCAGCTTAGGAGAGTGAAAATATCATCTATAGTAACAAGCAAGCACCTTCACGGCATTTAAAGCACGCGAGTGTGTATAGAGTTGGGGATTGATCTGATCCAGCCGAAGAATTGCTTTATCCCTAATGTTTTCAATGAAAGTCATGTTGCTCCTGCAAACAGGTCTTGGATGTCCATCCCAGTTACGAATTAAACGCGATGGAATAACACTTTCGTCACCTTTATTAAAACATCCATCGCAGTAGTACTTTTCATCAAAGCCACACTTTCTGAAATAATTTTATTCTTAAGACAAATCTAAAAAAACAAAATTTAAAAACAAATTCCGGACCAACACTAAAATAACCAATATAAAACGAAATCAACATCTGGTCCCATTGCCACATCACAAAATAAAGTGACAAGCAGCACAGTTCAAGCATTGCTGATTATAACCGTATGGTATTCTGAACCTGAACCGAAAAACGACTTTGTCAACAAGGGCATCAAGGGCACCGCCTAAGAGCACTGAACTCATAAAAGTCAAAAAATAACAAAACCTGTACGAAGCAAATGTTGGACCAATTGATTTTCTGCACGAAAAGCAACGAAAGTTCTGAGAATCAAGGCCCTTCTCATGGGGAATCACTGTCAAAGCATCAATCAATATTTTGTCGGAAAACTCAGAAATAGTCCCATTAGAATTAATCTAAATTAATTAAAAAGAAAAACTAGGTGATTATCGCTGTAAATAACTTAATTATATTAAAGTGAAATAAATCAAGAACAATAACCTAGAAACAAACTTCTGATTCTAGTTTCTTGAAAAGTACAGCTCCTTGGCGATCTGTTACAGAGAATGACGTCTTATCACCATTATTAGCATCCTGTAACAATTCTTCTACATCACTAAGATTACCACTATCTGAACGGTTTTGATTCATCACCTGCAATAATAATACGATATTTCGGAACATTACTGGAATAAGCAAAAGCAAAAAAATTCGCAATCGTTTATAAAAATAAAATCTTAAAATGGAAAGATATCTTTACACTGAATTGTGCTGATATGCTAAGTGCAAAATCAAAGCGCATAAAAAGAAAGTAAACTGAATCAATATCGTTAGGAAGACAAAAGATGAATAATGGTAAACTAAAAGCTCTAAAATAAACATTCTAAGTGATCCTGAATTACCTCATTCGAAGTCCCATCAAGAACATTTTTTATTTCGACATCGAAATTCCGAGAAGAACCTGTGTTAGACGATAGAGAAACTGTTGAAGCTCGACGATCCTTCAACATAGAAATTTAAAAACATATTGCTCTCCAAACCATGGCATCTTTAATAAAAGCACTATGAAAAACGAATGTACTCTGTTAAATGACTAACAGAAGGCTCAACTTTCCAACGATGATGAACAATCCAGCCTTTACCGAGAAGACTATTTCCTTCATTAAAATGCTCTGACATATACAGATCATCTTGCATGGACACTGAGCGTTCCTAAACAGAATTTTGAATCACTGAAATAAAAAAGACTGAAGCTGGACACAAGAAAAAAGACCCAAAATAACTGATGAAAAGAACAACCAGCTCCACATCTGATGACTTCTTTGACGTGCTTCTAATTTTGCTTCCTAATTCAGTGAAAGACTGCTCATTTTCAACTGAGATCACCGGACAAAGATTGTACAGAAGCTTGTATGACTCATCTCGCATAGAATGCTTTGGTTTGACATCATCAGCTTCAACTGAAATGAAACCAGCATAAACAATACTTCCAGCGAAATAAAGAAAACTGAACGTATATACTCACAATATCTTCTATCATCATAACTTCAAACTGCTTAACAGCTTGATAGCACGAAAATTTCTGTATTCAACTCACTAGTAATAGCATATGATTATACATATCGAAAATAGATTGCCTTTTTAACTTATTAAAGATGATGAGACATATATTCTGATAGGTTTTTACTTCTAAATGCCACTATTCTAATACTGTGATGGATGCCTAAATCGATCTATGTACAGTAATTCAGCAATCACAAAAAAAAACCATCAGATGTGACACATGAATCGATCCAGTTTTTGGGATCACTTTGTGAAGTTTCCGCCGTTTTGTGAACTGCGAACTCACTGCTGACTGACAACTCATTGTTCGATCCAGACAATTCATGTTCTTTCATATTTACCACTTTCTCCTCACTATAATACACGTTTAATGTAGAAAAAAGATTAAATTATAAGTAAAGTACTTGGATTAAAAGCAAAATATTACTAAATTCCAATCTGGTCGCGGCTTTCTCTATTTTCGTTATTTATTGTGCAGATTGGGGATAATGTTCGTGGCTTAATGTTATCAATGCTGTAAGGTTCTTCTAAATTTTCCACTTCTTTTGCAACCATTTCTACCTTAAAAGAAAAATTCAGCGGTCCAATCAATTCCTTTTATGATCTGTTCTCAAAAAATTAATCAACGCATAATTTATTTCGATAAATTAAAACTCAAAAAAATTCTATTTTTTTACTTTTCTAGTACGATTTCTTTAGCAATTTATTATACCTACATCATGTGACTCGCTAACCACAACTGATACGGTTTCGTTTCTGGAACTCGCTGAACTGCCAGCAGTGCTACTCTTAGATGAACGTCTAATACGGCGATAGGTACCTCTGGTTACTCGTATCTGGAATAAAGAACCGTTATCTTTTATGAAATGTAAAGACTGAAGCTGTGCGAATAAATCAACAGGGTGAAATATCATCATCTGCAAAAAAGTTTCTGGATCGCAATTGAAGCAGAATGGTTATTAGGTCGTTTTCTAAACTTGATAAACAGGATGGATATTCATAATGAAAACAAATCAAAAAGTAACTTAAGCCAGAAATACCATTAGAAAACTACTGGTCAAACCTCATGCGGATCGCAACTTAGGATGCTATCTTCCGGAACTGGATTAGAAAGAACAGTGCTGCTCGTTGCACTCAGAGCTGGGAGATAAATGTTTTCGCCATCAAGCATTGACGGATGCGAATAAACAGAAGCCACATCAGCTTCTCGTCCAGCTGTTTAAAAAACACTGACAGCAAGAATGAGCAAAAAAGAAAGACGGAAAACACAAGCTAGAAACATATTATCTATGAAAAAAAAAGCCGAGAAAACCGTTTACTGAGCGTAAACTAACTATCGGAATCTTCTTCATACGAAGAAGTAGATAGTCCTGTAAAGCCGCATAAAGACTGTAATGCGTTTTCAGCAAGCTCCGTATCCTCGAGCATGCTTAACGAACCACCATCACGATAACGACATTTTACTGACTGTTTTACTAAAATGAAAATTTATCTTTGTGGATACCATAAGCTTTGAAATAATAACCAGGATCTTACAAAGTTCGAAAGTTGTTCGAATATGAGTAAACTGTTCCAAAAAAAATTATGAACCAAAAGATAATTTGTTAAATCAGGAACTTAACTCACATCTTGCAGGTTCTCCTGCTATCAAACCAGAAAGTATCAGTGGCGTGGGAGTCCAAGTGTTAAGAGAGAAGCTATTAACGGGCGCTTGAACAATCAGTCTTGTCAATCCCTTCATGTAACCTGACAGCACATTCATGAGTTCCGCATCTCTCAAAAAAGCCCATTTCTCGTAAAACTTGCTGAAAAATTCAAATTATGGTGAAAAAATTACAGCTTGTGGAATTGAACAAAACCTTAAATCATTCAAATCCAAGTAAAAGAAGTTCATTTCTCTCTTAGGACCTGATTTCATTTTAATTCACTGTTCACCAACCAACCTTAAAGTAACAGTATTCCGCGACAGCAGGTTCAAATAATTTTCTATTGTATTATCATTCAGCAATATCCTGACCCATGCCTGTAAAAAATATAAACTTTCATTACAAGCATGCAATGCAAACTTAATGTAGGCGCAATAACAATTCTTCTAGCTAAACATTAGAAAATGCAACTTACCCGCGATTTTCCTATTTCTGTCTTTATTTGATTCGATGCAGTTATCTGGTCCAATACTGCTTTATGAGTATATTTGCTAACAAATGGCCAAAAATTCTAAAAATATTCATTAAATAAGCTCATACAATCAGCAAAAGGAAATATTTCTAAGATATTAGCAAAAATTCTCACCGGCTCAGGATACCTTGAACTTCGTGGTTTCTTCTGGAAGAAGGCTGTCTTTAAGCCATGAATGAACAATGCTTCAACCGCATTACAAAGTATTTGAGTAGACTCTCTGAAAATCAAAGCTGTTTCAAATACACAAAAAACTTAATGGATAGTCTGAACAGACCCTTCATAAAATCATAGCTTAATCTGTTTCTCCAAGAGAGAGGGATATGGATGGATCAAGAACGAAGAAAAAATTACTTGGAGAGTGCATTATCGAAAGGATACTCAGATGTTGCCTGTTTATGAATATTTGCAAATTCGGTCACAAGTTTTATTTTTATTTCATTCTGTTCCACCATTTCTTCCCGCTCGAATGAGTCATATCATATCAAACCACATGTTCACAAGCTAATCATCTAACTGAAGTCTATAAATTTTAGTTGTTTTCGCAGTCATTTTCCCCGACTGATGCCGACAGAGTGATAGAGAGATCTGAAGAAGGTAAGAGAATTTAGATGAAAGTGAACAATCTTGATTACAGCAAACATGAACCGAAACACACCGATCCAACCTCTCTCTCACTCACAAACAAAATCATTTCTGAAAATGTACGCCTCAAGCCCGAGTATCATAACGCTACCACTGATGTGTGGCACAGACCAGAACTTCATTGGTAACATGACGATGCGTGCTAAGGTCGGATTCGGGTCCTCATTCGTCCCGAAATTTGAATATGTTAATTTTTCAGTGGAGCTGTGTATATTAAGCGATAGAATGGATTTTTCTGTTTGAATTACCGTAAACTCGTATGAATTACCGTAAATTCGTGTGAATTACCTTGAGTGTGAATTACAGTAAAGCCTAGCGAGTATAATAATCATGCATGATTGAGGGAATGAAGAATTAAAGAACAGTGTCCACCGATTTTTTATCTCTTTGTTGGTTTATAAATGATGCAGATTACTCGATGACCGGTATCAATACTATATATTACGTAAAATTGTCAAAAATTAGTTCTATTCAGTTTCATTGCTATCCACTGTAAAATTAGCACTCACAAATCAAAAAATTCTGAAATATAAGTAATGGGACGATATTTAAAGTACTCAGTCGCGGAGTTAAACCTTCCAAATAATGCACCTTTGTACAAGAATGAAATGTCTGTTCCCCGTGAAAATGTAGAAATTTATCAAATTCGGTTGAAAAGAGATGAATTGAAAAGCATCGAAGTTCGAAATTAACTTAAAGTAGGGAAATGTTTCATGTAACTTTTCGGCTATGCGTGTCGATCGATCCTTCTTCCTCTTTGTGCTGATCTGAGTCTCTGTGATAAAACCGAGGAATATTTCGCGGTATTTCTTTGCTGAGTGATTCTGCAAATTGCCCCTTCTCGAGGAATTGTAACGTTGAATAAAACACTTATAGTTTGCCGAATATATAATACTAGCTTTCATGAGATGATATTTGTTAACTCTGTAGAGGAATTTTTCTTATGGATTAAACGTTAGATTCAGTCTTGGGCTTGAACTTGAACTTGAATTTTGGCTTGATGCTTTTTTTCTTAATAATTAAATTTTGAGCTGTTCGCTAAGCAAGCATTAGTGAAGATTGTTTTATGATGCACATATGCTTTTGTTTTTCACAGCAATAAGATAACTTTTTAATTAATGATTCAGCAGGTGGACAGGATGACGGCGAAAATGTTTGTTATTCCCAGCCATGACTGTTTTTTTTTATGAAGTTTATAAAAAATGACATTAAAATGTTTAAAAAAAGTAAATTAAGGCTTAAGAAATAATTTTATAAAAATGCCGAAAATTAATTTGATATTAATATATTGCTGTCAGCATGGTGTCCTTTCAACATTCCCTTCACGTATCAAAATGTGGTTGATTTTTTTCAGCAATGAGTGTATTTGGAAAGATATTTGGTAGCAGTAAAAAGCAACAGACACCACCAGCAACCCCTCAGGAATCTATACAAAAATTGCGGGAAACCGAGGAAATGCTGGTGAAGAAGCAAGAATTTTTGGAAAAGAAAATAGAAGCTGTAAATTTTCCAGCTTTTCTTTGGAAGTTCTCGTTTGCTTTTTCATAAGAGGTCAGCGAAATCGACAAATGCTATTACATGAAAATTAATGACAGGAGATACTCTTAGAGAACGCTGAATATTATTTGTGCCTCCAGAAAGATAGTGCTTCTGGTAAGATTAAGTTTTTAAAGTTCGAGGAAAGAACTTCTTAGACATAGAGATGAAACTAGGTTCAGAATGAATGAAGCATTTCTATTATGACACAAGATTATTTCAGGAAATTGCATCGGCAAGAAAACATGGAACAAAAAACAAACGGTTGGCTTTGCATGCGTTGAAACGGAAGAAACAATTTGAAAAGCAGCTGCAGCACATTGACGGTGTCTTATCAACGATCGAGTTTCAACGAGAAGCTTTAGAAAATGCGTCAACAAATGCTGAAGTATTGCAAGTGATGGGTTCTGCAGCGAAAGCTCTCAAAACAGCACATAACGATATGGATGTAGATCAAGCAAGTGATTCCATTATTATATTGTTTCTATAAATAATTTATTATCGCAGGAAAGTCCTCTTTAGGTTTGTAGTGAAATGGTAATTCGTATCATGTGAGATAATGAAGGGATAAATAGGATGGCGTGATTATTGTTGTCATTTCTAAATTCTTTATCTCTGGAGTGCATAGACATATTGAAGCGTAAAATTCCAGGAATAGCAAACATGAAGTTTGCAAAAAGGTCTTAGCTAATGGGGAAAAATAAAATTCGTTAACAGGTACACGACTTAATGGAAGATATTGCGGAACAACAAGAGGTTGCTAATGAAATTGCTGAAGCAATTAGTAATCCAGTTGGTTTTGGTCAAGATGTGGATGAAGACGAATTGCTGAAGGAACTGGAAGAACTGGAACAGGTCTATCTTTTCATTCTGTTTTTCTCTCCATTAATTTTTGGCATTCTAGTCAGCATTTTCACCTAATTAGAGATATTGACTAAGATGTTTATGATTGACTTTTTATATGTTTTGTGGGTAACTTCTGATTGACAGTCATATTTGCTTACAGGAAGAGCTTGATAAACAGCTTCTAGATGTCGGACCGACACCAGCATCTTCAGTTTTACCTGAAGCTCCAACAGCTGAACTTCCAGTTTCTGGAAAGAAGACTACTACCAAGAAACAAGAGGATGATGACTTGGCCGAATTAGAAGCTTGGGCAAACGCGTGATTGCTGTGACTAATTGATTGTATTTTCTATTGTTTGTTCAGTTTTCCATCGTTATCGTCATCACCATCATCTCTTTTTCCGGTCATTATGGTCGTAGTTCCAAATTTACATTAGTAAGTAGTATATAATCTGAGTGAAAGATAAGTTTTTGTAGATGCATGCGGTTTGAACTGTTATAGTTATTTTTATTTTTCCGGGATATTTTCCGGTTCTGCTTTGGCAGATATACACTTTGTCATGTTGTCAATACCCAATTATATTAAATACCATCTGCTCGATTGAAGTGAATATCTCAGAGTAAGAAGTACGACATAGAGAATAATATACAAAGTTTCAATACTTTTTTTTTTCATTACAGCAGTTTGAAATACGCAGTAACATATTTCTTTTAATGAGGAATAAGTGTTTTTTTCCTCTTCGTCTTGCATTTTATGAAAATTAAAGTCACTTTATGGATAATTACACATTCATTGCATTATATGTGACGGATAAGAAATTACTGAAGTGTTCATTTTTGTGATACAAACCGAATTACTGCTACCCTTCCTATTAACATAACTAATATCATCATTTCTTGAAAGTCTCAGGCAATTTCTAGGCAAAAGGATGATTTATTACATAGTTTTCTCCCAAAATTTAAAGTCCCTAATATTACATTAATATTCGATGTTCTAACAGTATGCCTTGGAGACTCCTGAGCTGTAACATCTCAATAAATTGATTGTACTTCTTTTCAAAACAGTTTGCGATGATAGATAGGTGGATTACTTTATTGCAAATAAAAGGTGAAGAGTCGATAATATGTGAAAGGATTGTCGTATATTCTTGCCTTGCAAACCACTTTTAAAAAAGAAAAGGATAAGGAGAATAGGAGTAATGGATATATAATCTTTTAAAGGATGTTCCTTCAGAAAATATAATGGATATAGAAAGGATTTACCATTTAAGAAAATCTAGCAGAAGGTTAAGTAGTTCCATAGAATGAGTTTACTGCTGCCTCATAATGTTTTCCTCATTTCCAAAGTCATGCTATAATTTATTGTTATCATTGCCAGGAATTAGGCTTAAATGTCTATTTTAGAGGTAGCTTAAAGTTTTGTGGAATGAAATTCACATTCTATTCTGCAAAGATAGCATTTTAATATTACAGTCAGCTACAGTTAGAGAGAATCATAAACAATCAAAAAGAAATATTTTTGAACTTTCAAATTTAGCACTGTTAAAAACGGTTAGCAAAAATTCTTAAATTTCTATGATTTTTTTCTTGAAAAATATCCTATAATAAAGCTATAATAAAAATTGTTTGCTTTAATAGGTGTAGTGTAGAGTTCCCAATGCAATGACCGGTTTTTGCCGAATAATAAATATCCCGTACGATTTTAATCCTGAAAACATTTATTCATTCGTAGAATTCAAAAACGTAGAATTCGTTTTTGATTCTTAGAAATAAATCGCGGGTAGTACCGAAAAAAATCAATTATTTAATAATCACTTTGGAAAATTTTAACAAATGTTATAAAGTTACAAATCAATCTTTTTTAAATCAATCCTTCGATGTTATATTTTCTATTCTTTAGATTATCACAGAAGCAACTTGATTGTATCATTTCAAATTATATTACATTAATCCAAAATGCTAGATGGATTAAAGAAGCTAATTAGATGAATCTATTTGATATTTCTGCTAGAGAGGTTTTTGCAATAAGACACTTATTATGTTTGGTATAAATTTAAAATTACTGAATTAAACAAGACAAAAAAACTTTATTCTAACATCGAAAAATAATGCTTAAATTTCAAATGGGTCTACCTACTACAAATTAATAAATTTCTTCACGGAGTACTGATTGCAACTTTCAATCTGAAATTGCGCAAAAAATTGTGTTCATCTAAAAACTGAGTATATAATACATATCAATTTATATTTGTATTTTATACAAGAAATTTTTCAAATATAATTTTGATTAAATCAAAAAAAAAAGCAAACATTTTTCGACCTTTCTCAAATCGCTTAAATTCTTTGTACACATTTCTCTTGAATGAAATTAGGATATGAATAGAAATGAAATTAAGAAATCAAACTAAGTTGAACAACTTGCAACTTCCTCTCATTGTTTTAAGAAACTTTGAAGGGTATAAGACTGACATTGAGATGCTATTTGTACCATTCCCATAGTGAGTTCTGTTGATTAGTACCATACTAAATAATTATAATGTTACATTATAAAAGAAGCTTTTTTGGAGGAAAAAAGAGTTTCAGATGAGATTTTTGTCAACAGAGAGGTAACATTTTGCTAATTAATTGAAGTGAAGCAAGAAATATATGACGCACACTCACAAGGACCTAAATGGCGTAATGCATTTTGGGTTTTCCATCTGTCCACTTCGATTTTACAACTAATCAGTATGGATGTTCTCATCTGCTTTCTTTTCACTCACATATTCCCTCCGGAAGCCTTATTCCAGATAGGCTCATTTTCAAATATTTCCAGTTCATATTTACACAAGTACCACACACAATAAAGAGCTTTCATATTTCTTCCTTTTTTTTTCTCGAAAAATAGAATAATTTTTACTAACAAAATTTTTCAACTTATTCAGCCACTCATTTTCACAACAATTTAAGAAGACGAAATTCAAGCAATAAGTAGTTGGCTAAATGATCATTCTGATGAGTTAATATTTTTGCAAAACTATCAACAATTTTTTTACCTTAAATATTTTGATGTCATATGTAAGTATCAGTTGATGATATCACTTTGACAGGTTAATAATTCATATCTGATATAAAAAATGATGTTGTATAGTATTGAATATATCATCTATGGTATAGCCAAAAGAGTTTGATAAGAAAAAGTGTCCCCCAAAGAAATCTTTTTGCTAACAATGATATTATTCTTTTTTTTTGTATATGTGAACAATTTACTAGAAGTTGAAACAAGCGTATTGCTGGAAGGATTGGAAATATCGGAACAGAAATAGTCAGTTTACTCTTCAAATTCAAATCTCTCTCTTTTTCCAAGGAATTTACTTTTTGCTGTTCTTGATGGTTTGAAGTTCATCAAATTGAATAACATATGGGCTGTCTACAAGAGCCATAGATAGACATTTTCAATCTTTTCTAAGCAGTGAATGAATGATCTAGCATTCTAGAAAAGTAAAGTATTACTTTTATATTGGTACTAACTATATTGATTAATACAAATTTGGATCAAACTTAATAATGTGACCTATTATCAACTGATAGCGCCAATTTAGTATCCATTTATTATTGTTGTTCAATTGAATCTCTCAAAAAGCTCTGTTTGCATGAAGTAGACATTTTTTGCCGAAAAAAGAAATTCTCATCTTTTCTAATCGAAATTAAAGCTTCACCAATTCATGGGATATTTTTTAATTTAATTTTCACTGTGTTCTTCGTTTTTTTCTCTTGTCTATTCTTCCGGAATTTTTTCAGGAAATTTCAGGGAGAATTTCTTTCATCTATTCTTCCGGATTTTGAAAATTTTCAGAATTTCATTGCTATATATATATACATTTTTTTTTCATTGCAATGTAATTTTTATCTAAAGAAATGCGAAAAATGAATTTTACAGCTTTATCACAGTTACGACATTTTGTCAATGCTCCAGCAAAAGATATTTGTAATTGAAATTGTTTCTCTTTATTAATGTGAAAGAAATTGAAACAAATTTAAATATATTATCATTCGTCTCTTTTTTGTTTCTATTTTATATCAACAATAGAAAACTATTAGGCTAATGTATTTACAATATCAAATATCACTTAATTCTTATGAAATTTGAGCTAAGTTAACTAATTAATTATATGGTTATTATTGACAATAAAAAAATAAATTTATAATAAACAATAAGTTAAATTCAATTATTTGCAAATATTTCTATTTATGCATATGCTGTCGAAAAATATTTCGTAACGATGTAAAGTTTTTTGAATGTTAAAAATTTTGCAAATTATTTAAGCCTTAAAATAAAACCATTCTTTTTGTCTTTCAATTATAATCCGATAATTCTATGTTTTTAGAAGTTTTATCTTTCCCTATTTATTATCGTCCAAATGACACACTTTCTTTGTCATTTTTTTCGCTCTAATAGATTGACCTGCCAATTATGGTTACTTTCAACAGAAATCAAGTTTAAATTTAAACTTTAATTATCGTTAACATATCATAGCACAACTTTAATTATCGCTAACATATCATAGCACAGAAATAAATCAACAATAATTCTACACTTGCAAAAACTTACAGTGGAATGATCAGATATGTCAAACGCACAAAAAAAACAATATTTTGCACAACATAAAACATTGTCACTTAGCGCACCAGTTCGAAGGAAATGGTACAAAAAAGGTGTGTGTATATTTATCATATTTGATTTTCTAAGAATTACATTAATTTAAAGTTAATTTTCTTTTGCTCATTTGGAATTTAAACTTTGACATACTTAAAAATTACAGTACTACCAATGGATTTTCAAGGTAGCACCGCTGAAGATTTGGATTTAGTAAGTCAATTTTTTCACTTTTTCTTTCTTGAATGTAAAAAACGGATTTTTTAATCAATGCTTGATTAACTCCGGTGAAGAAATGGTTTAAATGTCCTGTTGACAACGGAATATACACTTGTAATGCCTTCGCTCCGGTTTTATCATTTTCTAAATTAATCTAAATTAAAATGACGACTTCTTGAGCAAAAAAGATTGCAATAAAATATTTTTGTATGAATCACATAACAGAGCAGAAAGAAAAATAGAAATTTAGAAATACTAACGTCAATGAAACTAACAAAACCAATATTTACAATGAACAGACAACGACGTGATGATACAGTCAACTAGATACCTATCCGATATGTTTCTGAAACCTGTCAAATTTTCAACAAAGCCTTCTCATTCCCGACATATTTCGTAACTTCATAATTAGCATTAATTAGTCATCAAATTGAAAGGCTTTTGAGAAGCAAGGTAGACATAATCCTTCAAGTACTACAAGAATTTAAATAGTTGAATAATAACTGGATGTTGCATTTTAATAGGAAAACGATATGTCGAGATTTAAAATCAAAATTATTCGCAAACTATAAGATAGAGTTGCAGAGTATGAGTACAACTTCAAATCAATTAATTGGTGCATTAGCAACTTGGCATAATATTCATGCAAGCCTGATGAAATTTGACCTTTCAAGTAGCGATGTATCATCGGATAAAGTGATGAAAGCGCCACTCAATTCATCCAGTTCAACAAGTAGCAGCTATTCCACCGATTCATTCATCAGTTACGGTGATTGTACGTCGAAGCGTCAATTTTTCAAAATCTGACTTAGTAAATTCAAGATAGATTATGTGAATTTCAACGTTAACTGGATTTTTAATCATCACATCACTCCAAATGACTTCCTTTCATTATTATCATTGCTAATGATCCTTAATAATAAAAAATCAGTTTTTCAAAAATCGACTGCATTGCAGCATTGAGTGGAGATCAGACTAGCAATGGAAGTTCGGATGATGAAAAATTATTCAATTACCAATCACGATTATCCATTTCAAATCTGGAACTTCAAAGTTCACAACTGAAAGAAATGTTTCCCATGGCATCGGAACATTGGAGGTATTTTTAAATTTCAATCTTTTTTTCTTTCATGATTTTCCATCAAATCTTTGATAGTCTACAAAATTAAACGTAGCCGATCAGAATGGATTTTGGAAGAGATGAAGTAATTATGTCACTGCTAAAATTTATTTATAATTTATAAAAGAACAATTCCATTAATACAATTTTATCGAAGTTTTAAACAATATCCTTCATCATTCAATTGGTCTGGAGGAAATAAATGGATGTCATCAAGCAAGTAAAATTAAACATGAATATGATTATTTATGCTCAATATCGGGCTGTTTTATAAGTTTACTTTTTCAAAAATTTCTCAAAGCATTATAATTTTCGATACAATTCCTTAAAATCACGTATAATTAGGCACTTCATGACTTTTCTTACAGCAAAAAAATATTGTTTACTCTATCGAAAAAGCAAGAAAACAATTTATCGCCATCTTCTACATGTCATTTAATGTACATTTTCCATCCGTCATTTTTCGCCTTCTCATCACATTATCATCACAAGGCGCAATAATCATTTAGCTACTTGAAAACTTATTCAAAACATTAAAATCATTTGAAAATTATAAACATTATAAAACAATTTCCGATCTTAATGAGACAAGAAGCGGCATTACTGCAAGAATTCTTAAGATTCCAAGGAAAAAGGAAAAGTTTTGCAAATTTTCACCTAATCATATACTATCAGTGAAATTCAAATTTAATCAAAAAGTTTGTACCATTTTGTGATGCTACAGGTAGCTAAAGGATAAGTGCAAAAGGATATCAGTTTTTGAGTTAATTCTATTTTCAAACAGGTTGATCGTTATCTTATTTTTAGAAAAATGAAAGAAACACCTCTAGTTTTTAGCTTTATTTATTGCGACACAAATTCACTGATGTAAATCCACTTGTCATTATATGAAATGAATGAATAATAAATGAAAAGAACAACAGAAGAAAAATTTGATCACATCTACGAATTGAACTTTTTCCCGTTTATGATTAGTCAACCTTCTATAAATGGTAAATTTCATTTCAGGATATTTTTTGGAAAATTAAAGGATAATTCAAATTTCGAGTTTCCGATTTAATTTGACTGGTATTACACATTTCGATAAAACAATTAAAAATGAAATCCTAAGAATGAACGATAAAATATCAAAGATAGAAAAGTTTTTAAATTTGATGAGATGAAAGGTGAAATTATTGTTGTTGCTGGTTTAAGTAGAAGTTCACAATTTTTTACACACATCCATCAAATTAGTTTCACAAATATATTTTTATTTCATTCATGTATAAGAATATTTCACCGTTAATTGATACAGTGCTGATATGCGTACCGTCCGATCGTCTTCCATACCAATTAGGACATCGGGAAAAAGGCGTATCATATCATGTTTATGCAATATGTGTTCAATAAATAACCGTAATGAAATTACCTAATCTAAGTACAACTACAGTCTAATTTAGGAAATACCGAACTGCCTCAAACAAAAATGTAAGGATAGAGACTAAGGTACCGGGTAGAACTGGGAAAAAATAAGAAGGTATGAACGGTGCACAGTTGTCAACTAGCATTATCTTATACCACATTTCACTTCTTTGTAACCTACCACTCCATCACTATCACTTCTATCACTCATCGCCCATTGTCTCATTTACCCCCAATACTATCAGCATCATACATATATATACACACATATATACATACACAGACGCACATCCATCCTTGGTTGGTCTTTTTCATACAACAGCTTATTCTATCCTATTCTAATCTGCACTATTCCATTCCCATGTTATTCTGTCGTCACGCCACATCACGCCGTGCCATCCTATGGTCGTCGGTGTTGCCTGTCAGCAGTGAGCCCCAATATTGCTCACGCCTACCTGATATATAACCTGTACTGCATTATTCAGTACTACTCCCTCCTTTGATCTCCTATCGCACTCCGTTAAGTAGCTCTAATATTGGATAGACAAACTTTACTGTGGCTGATTTAACTATTTCATTCATTCTAAAAACCGTAAAACTAAACTCTCGATATTATCGAGTATTTACCACTTTCTTTTTCGATGAAAAAATTATTTGACTAACTTTTATCAGTATTATTTAATTGGGAACTAATCTTCCGTATCACAGATTTGATGATATTTCTCTGTGAATGCATTCTTGATGAAGACGAATTCCTAACACAGATTTCTCTATTTCTTAAACCTGCTCAACGTAGTCAGATATATGATAATTAAATCATCAAGAATGGAGGAACGTCGATACTCTATGCCTTACGCCATTTCCACTCACATTTCAACAGAAACGCCAAGAGGGACTTTTAAAGCTAAAGAAACAGAAGTTAATAGTTCCTGTTTGGTAGATCATTTCGCGACAAATGATTTGCAAATTACTGGGAAATCAAAATCCCTAACAAATCCATCCACCACCAAATTAACTCTCTCGCGGACTTCTTTCTCCACCAATCATTCCGATAATTTATTACCATCTAAAACACAAAAGAAACCAATGTTAATGCGCGCTGAAGCAATTGATCTACCTGATATCTCTGGTACTTCGGATAATCACAGTATAAGCGCAAATTCACGGATCAAACATGACATGCGACCTCATTTGCTTGTCTCATTTCTTGCGAAACATTTTGAAAAAATGCACAAAAAGATGACGAAAAGACCACTAGGTTTATCATTATCCTTTGACCTTGATGGACGTCAACGAATGCATGTTTCACAACAGGGATGTGATTTGCAGGATAAAAGTAGCATCTCATTGCCTGCTAATATCAAATATCCCAATTCGTTTCATAATGGCTTGAATTGCTTTCATTGTCTCATTGACGCATCGTTACGTGAACGTAAACTTAGCAGGGTGGAGAATGGAATCCGATTATGGTCCAGTTCGGATATTCCCAGTGCACACTGTACCAATTCCAAACAACATAGTTCTCAAAAGTTTGATACAAATTGTAAAATATCGCTTCACGACAGCATTCGCGTTATCAATAAGTGGAGTTTGATTCTTTCAATTTATTTTTGTTTACTGATTAGTTTAAATTGCTCGCGGCTTTCTGCTAAGATTAAATGTTATTGCGAAAAAATTTCGAACAAAGCTTATCGAGAAAATTGAAAAAGTAGAAAAAGAATAAAAACAAAAATATTTTGTTATTCTTCATTTGTACCACTTACTACCTCATTTTTAATAATCAAATAGTTTTTGTTGATACGTTACTATACGATAGCAATCACGAATATGAAATATAGTTTAGTTAATTATAATTCTATTCAATGAGATTGGGTTATTTCATAGTTTAATTTCTAATATATTATAATATTATACTCTTACTGAAATGCTATAAGTAAAATTATGATATTTTACTTTACAAATTGAAAGCACTTTGTTTTGCATATTGCAATATTATCAAATCTCAATTATTTTTCAACAAATTTTTGCAACTATCTCACAATAAAATTTTTTTTTTGGAGTTAGCTAGCGATAAATATCTTAATAATTTATTCGGAAAATTACCTGTGAAGATTTTTTTCATACTTCACCTGTGAGGCTTATATTTTAGGATTAGAGGTGTTTTGAAGTTTTTTTTCATGAAATTTTTATTGTTTTCATGAAAGCAAAAGAGTTCTTCCAAAGAGTGGAAGAACTCTTTTGCTTTATATATTATATATTTTCTTATTATATCTTTACTAATTTAAGTTATTCATTTTCTCAACTTATTCTCCATTAATTGAAATTTTGGAATTGTTGCGATTGATATTTAACAAATAAATTTTTAATTCAAATTAGAGCTGGTAATAAAAGAAATACAAGGAAGTATTATGAATTCTCTCTTCGCTTCAAACATCGTACTTACAAAAAAAAAGTCGTACTTTATTAAATCATACTTTATATCGATTTTGCTATTCCTACTGCTGACAAATTTCTGAAATGAAAAATTTATCACATTTTCGGTTTTTTTTCCTTTTCAAAAAAATGCCATTATATTTACTTTACATTTTCTTACTAGACAGTTAATTAATTAATTAATTAATTATTATAAAGCAAGGAAAAATGAAGGTTTTTGAGGTATAACTCATCAATTTTTATTCTGAACTTTCCGGTTACTTTCAATAACTGTAAGGTACTTTCCGGTACTTTCATTGATACTCAGATTCAATATAAGGTAATATTCCTTTCCACATTTTATCTCATTCTTCATTCGCATCATTTCATCACATTCAATTTCATTTTTTCTTCTTATACTTTCATTTATTTATTATACGTTGTCCTATTCTATTATAAACCATTTTATTTCACTTTAATTTGTTTCAATTAAAATTTTTCTCATTCTTATTAATTTTTAAACATTCACTAATTGAAGAAACAAAATAGCAATCTTTCCCACATCATAATTTTCTTCATTTAATTCAATACTTTAATGCCAATTTTCATTTTACTAATTATTAGCTCTGAAAAATTGGTTTATGACATCCGAAAGATTGTTCCATTTATCAGCATTTCAAATTTAAACTTATCAAACAGTTATCAATATTTCAAATTTAGAGTCAAAAATCAAATGCCGACATTTTTGCTGTTTGCTGTAGGAGTGGAACAATTTTTAGAATTCAATGAGAACGAAAACGAAAAGGTTACATCAGTCGCCTTTTCGATGAAAAATGATTTGCCCATAAGCTATGACCTGTTTTCATATTAAACAGTTCGAAATGATTTTGTCATTAGAATATTAATATGCGAGAGAAGGAAGAAGCAAAGATATTGCCAGCTATAAAACTTTATAAGTTTTAAAATTCCAACATTTGATTTGCTCAGGCAAATTACTTGCTAATAAATAGAACAGGTAGAGTTAAGGAAACAAAATTTCGCATATGCTCAATTCGATGATATTATTGACATTATAGATTGATATATTTATTTAAGCAATGATAACAATTGGAAATTGTATAAATGAATGTTAAATTTATAATGAATGAATTAAATTATGGAGAAAGAAATTGTTAAGGTGAAAATTATGTAGCGATAAAAAGATATGATAAAAACAAAAGTAAACCATAAGAAAAAATAGGAAAGTGAAATTTGAACTGATAAAAATATTAGTGTTGAAAAAGAGGTAAAATCTATTTAATTAAAAACCAAAGTTAACGAAAATAGCTAACATTTGAATAATCACTTGAATAATCTAAATTTCTATATCATCAGAATATTTTTCAAGTTTTTTCATTACTTTCTTGTATATAAGTCAAAAAAAGTAATAACTGGAGATATCTTTCAATTATTCAAATATATGATTAATGATAAAACTATAACTCCATTACATTTCTGTGGGATGTTATTTTCGATCATATAGCAGCTTTCTGTTTCATCAAAAAACAATGACTAAATAGATTTTTTAATTCAAATTCCAAGTATGAGTGAAATTTGAAGGAATTATTATGGAACCTAAATATATGATAATAAGGATATAGTTCCAAGTCAAGCTGAGCATCACTTCAACAAGTAACTTTCAACAATTGGTGATAATGCAAAAAAGATTTCTGCAAAGTTTGCTTACATACAAAGAATATATATGTTGTGGATGTAAATTTTAAAAAGCATAGTTTTTGTGTTACTTTTTGAAATATCTGTTGATGATAGTCTGATCGATTAGAACTTTTCTGTTGCATTTTCTTTCTTTCCTTTCCTAACATTTCCATCCATTGCTCATTCACATTTTTTACTTTACTAAACAAAATATATAAATATATTTCGACTCATTTCAATATTTATTCAATTCCCATCATTTTAACGCCATGAAACTTTGATAGGAAAAAGAGAGAAATTTACATTTTGTTCATTAGTTTCAAAAAAAAATTGCTTTCATAACAAAACAAAATTCTTTTATTCGCTTTATGCTTGATAAAGCAAAAAGATAAATAATTAAAAATTAAACCATATCAAGTGAAGAAACGAACGAACAGTTTCACTTATATTCATATTTATCTGATATATCTCGATTATCTCGATCTGATATAATACATTTATCTGCATATCTTGATTTAATATATTTTAACAATTATTAATAAATGAATATACTTACTCTTCATCATACATTTTTCTTCATTTCAATTTCATCTTCTTCGACTGATACGCAATTCTTTCTATTCACAAATAATCTTTGAAGCATTTTTTAATTCATTAATTTTTATTCTAAATATTTGTTTCTTACACAGAATCAATCTTTTTGAATCTTTCTGCAGTCCTTCTTTAAATGACAGATTAATAATATAATATTTATCACATCCAATGGTTACTATTTTTTTGCCTTTAGTGGAAAGAAAAAATTTATAATTGTATTAATCAGATAGATTACAATTCATTAAAAGATTCCTAAAAATAGCACTTCATGGATTTTCCATCATTCACACTAATAGTTTTTATCCACCTGCCAACATTAATTAATTATTTATAATCGCATAATGATTCTTGTTTATGGTTTCAACACAATACAATCTTCAAAATTTCATTTTTCCAGTTATGGATTAATCATCAGAGATTTTTTGACCATACTAACAAATCGAATTGAACAATTGTGCATCAATCAGATTAATGATATTGTAAAGTTGAAAAGTTTGATTAAAAATTATCATTCCTCCTAAAAGAATTTTACTGTATTACAAAAAGAATTTATATTCCTCTTAAAAATTTTAAATTTTCATCATTTTCCTAAAAATAAATAGCGATGCTAATCTAATCAATTTGATACAGGCGTGCATTAGTTAAATCAATGATAGCTAAACGATTAGTGGATGTGCATTCATCTCAATTACAAGGTACCACAATGGCATTATGTAAGCATCGTACAAAGAATTATTGGTTCGATCTCAAGGTTAGGAATTACTAAGGTATTAATGATATAAATATGATTAGCTGACTAATCACTCCTAATACTTTAGGCAACTGTAAAACTTTTCAATTGAAATTGTTTGGAAACACCAAATATATACCATTTTAACTATGATTAAATTTAAATGCACAATGATTTATAAAATTGAAAATAATAGCGAAACATTCGGAATTAAGATATTTTACAAAATATATTACTATATCGGTTTTCTTAAAATAGATTATTTTTTGATTTTTAGCATTAAATGAAACAAAGTTTTACATTAAAATATATATTTTCCATTAAAATTATCGTTTCAGATTCATGCCGACGAGCACATTTGGGTACCATTATCAGGGCCAAGTACCATGGCAAGCAGTTCACGTGATACCGAATGTTATGTTGGTCAGTGCAATTTCATTTGTCCAGAAGTCTGAAACGTTTGAACTGTTGATTCATTCTTTCATTAGGATGACATAGATTTCCAGAAAACTTATAATGTTATCGCCAAATTATCCCATATAACATATGAAATAATAATGTCATTGTTATGAATGAGAATACGATTTCATTGTCTATTTTTGGGTTGATTAGAAGATTTTATTTTAATGAGAAGTTTGTTCCTAAGCAATTGTTACATTCGATCACGTAATAAGTTCCAAAAATTGACCAAGTAATATTTTACAGGTGAACGAGACTGCCGAAAAGTTGGGGAAAAGCGAAGTTGCGCCGCATGCCATATTGTGGTCCATACAGCATGCTTGCCAATTTTACGACAGGTCAGTTTCGATATTTATTTTCTACCAGCGCAAGATCATTTATTATTTTGCGATATTCCGGAATTCACTATAACTTTCTAAACTCAAGAAGTCTATAAAACTAATCGTTTACAAAAAATTGTAGCAAATCTAATCACTTATATGTGTTTGCATTTATATATTAAACTTCATTTTGAAAGATCCACGCAAGATAGTATTCTTTCACTTTAGTTATATGTGAAATGCAAGATAACGTATCACGAAGAAAGTGCGACAAAAAAACAAATTGCTTCGAGCAGCGATGTTACGGAGGAATCGTTAAATGGACATCATTGGGTGCATAAATGGAAACAGAAAGGACGTTGCCTACGTTGCGGGAAATCATTTCAACAGAAAATTTTCCATGATAAGATAAGTTTGAACTCTGCACATCATTTGTTTTAAGTATTTTTTATATAAAGAAAGGTTAGAATGGATTTAATGAATGGTAGATTCTTAAATTGTGATTCTGATAAGAAGATAGTGACGTTCGATCAGTAAGCAACTACTATTATGAAATGATAAAGAGTGATATAATATATTACCACTCTTTATCCAAAGATTATCCAAAGATTAACACTATTTATAGCGTAGATAAAGAAAATTCATTTTTTTCATTCTTTGCTTGTAATCCGATTTAATGCTAAACAGGTTTTGCGAAGAAATTAAATTAAATTATTAAATTCAGGACATCAAACTCGGATTACATGATTAGATTTTTAATTACTTAATTGGCAATTGCAGTAAAAAATTGGAAATAAAATAATTATTTATATATTAGGTAATACCTTTCGAAAAAACAAAGAGTAGGACAATTCTCTGAAGAATAAGCAATGGAGAACTCCGCTGAAAAGAAAAAGTTAGCCTGATAAAATAATAAGAAGATGATTAAGGAGTAAATGTAATTAATTACAGGAAGTAATCGCAATCACTTGTTCATGGTGCAAGAGATCATATCATAACAAAGTAGAATGCTTCTCGTCACAATGTTTTGAGAGATCATGCGATCGCGGTGATTTAAAAGAAATGATCGTGCCACCAACATGGATTCAGTATTCAAATCAACTTCAAACAAGGAAAAGAAAGAAAGTTGCAAAAAGAAAGAAAGTATGACTCATCCCAATTATGGTTTAAATATGTTTTTGATATCTTCACATAATAATGAATTTTTATTTAGTTTCATAAGATATAAGTATTTTTTATTTTCGAAATCCAACAACGGATTTTCGTTTACTTTATTGTTATGAATAGCAGAAATCGTTGTTCTCTAAAATTTCATTATTTCAGCGCAGATTGTTTAGGATACGACCGATGCCTTTAGATGATGGCACATGGCTTCCAAGTCAACCACTACTTGTATTTGTAAATCCGAAATCAGGTGGTAACAAAGGTTCGAAGTTGTTGCGCACATTTTGCTGGCTTTTAAATCCACGTCAAGTATTCGATGTTACTGCAATGAAAGGACCTGAATTTGGGTAAGTAATTTCATCAAGATTTTCTTATGCATAGCTTACTTATAATAAAAAAAGATATAATAATTCCTTAATATTTTATGCATAAATAATATAGAGAAGTCAAGAGTTACTCCTATTCATATATGATACTTTTCCTTGTTTTCAGTTTGAAACTTCTTCAAATAAATAGCTGCTGTAAATTAATTTTCAAAAATATTCTTCAGACTTGGTATGTTCAAGAAAGTGGCATCCAGTTTGCGGCTGCTCGTTTGCGGTGGCGATGGTACCGTTGGATGGATTTTAAGTACTCTTGTCAAAGTTTGCTTTACAATTTTGCAAACTTTTTATGAATTAAGAATGATATAGACTTTTTTAGCAGTTTTAAATGAAAATCGTGCACCAAATAATTTCGGATCCTATAATCAGGCCTGAGTCTTTGATTCACCTTCACACTTTGAGTTTTATTTGGTTTATAATATCAAATAGCATCTTTATTTACATTTTAAAACTTCCATTGCATATTAAATTCAGATGCATTGGACGAAGTATCCTCCAATTGGCATTGTTCCGTTAGGCACTGGCAATGATTTATCCAGGCAGTCATTTTCCTATGCTTCTGTTAATTATTTAGATTTATCTCACTCAATTTAATTCATCCCAATTATCATCATTTTTAAGTCAACCCATATTCAATATTCAGATGTCTTGGTTGGGGTGGTTCATTCAGCGATGAACCTTTGGCGGAACTTCTAAATGCTGTTATTCATGAAACATCCATCACATATCTTGACAGGTTAATCTGCTTTTCCCATTATTTTACTCTAAAAATCGGAACTGGGAAATTCTGGTAACCTCGATCATCAGAAATCTGAACATGAACATGAGGTCAAAATAACATTTAAAACTGCTTTTCATTCATACTGAAAAAGGATTTTTTTAATTTGATTAAGCACTTATGAACTTAAAATTTTCATTCTTCAAATACTTCGTATAGATACAGAGAGAAATTATAGGTGGAACATAAATGTGGAATCCAATTTGCAAATCCCAAATATACAAGCAGATGAAATCGACAAAGCTGCTCAGAGCACGCTTACACTAACAGTGATGAACAATTATTACAGCATTGGAGCCGACGCTCATGTAGCCTTGCAATTTCATCATTCTAGAAGTTGGTTTGAATTTAAATTCCAATAAACCGTGTTTTTCTTTTTTTAATTTTGTTAGTTTCTAGAGAAAATAGACACAGCAACATTCAGAGATATAATTTCAAAGATACTTCCGTGCAAATTACTAATTTTTATGGTGATAATTATTTTGTTTCTTTAATCAAGTTTTCTAAGAAGATGCAAGATTCCAGGCGCAAATCCACAAATGCTAAACAGTAGGTTGAAAAATCGAATAGCATATGGTGGATTAGGTACCATTGATTTGTTCAAGCGGACCTGGAAACTTCTTCATGAATATATCACTCTTGAGGTAATAAATATAATAGACTCCCAAATATAAATTTGCTCCTCCAAAATCGACATCAGTTGATGTAAACATGATTTATCGTTTTTTCAAACTTTTTGGTTTTTAAAAAATTCATGTTCTTTATATGAATTTCAGTGCGATGGAATTGACTTAACTTCAAAAATTAAAGAGTTCAAATTCCATTGCATATTGTTCCTTAATATAACATATTACGCGGGAGGGACTGTTCCATGGAGCAACGATGATGAGGAAAAACATCGATCTTCTAGCTGTGATGGCAAACTAGAGGTTCTTGGTTTCACAACTGCTACGCTGGTATATTTTTCGGAAATTTAAATTCAGAAAAAATTTCAAAAAATACTCATGAAAGAAGTGGGTAAATTATTGGGACCACATAGATTTCTCGAAGTATTAAATCTCAGAATTATTTAGATCGTATTGTTGTCAATCATAAATTGACTCATTCTTTTAAATTTGCCTCTTATCTACTTTTAGTCTTCCACTAACATTTTTGCTTTCAGGCTGCGTTGCAAATGGGTGGCAAAGGTGAACGAATAGCACAGTGCTCTCATGCTCGTATCACAACAAACAAAGCAATACCAATGCAAGTAGACGGTGAACCGTGTCTTCTAGCACCGAGTACCATCGAAATTACCTTTCATAGCCAGGTTGATCCAATTTTAATAGAATATTTGAAACATTATCCTTTTTTTATTCTTATCTTCCTTCAAATTACTTTTTTTAACATTCGATTTTATTTGAATTCTTTTCCTTTTTTTCAGTTTTTTTTGTTCTCTTTCGATCCGTTATAATTTGATGATGTGTTTTCCATTCACAACTACTTTAAATATTGATATTATAGGTTCCAATGTTGCGTCGTGAAAAGAAATCAAATTATATGCCAGGAAATCTTAAGAAAGAGCGAAAAATATCCAAACAACAACGGAGTATCAGCAGTAGTCAAGCGCCATCGACTCTAATAGGCTATTCATTACCTGTACTGTTGACCACTTCCATCGATTATAATGCTAATCGAGATAATCTGGAACGGCTCAAAATAGCTGGTATAATTCAATGATTTTAGAATGTTTGTAGATAATGTTTCTTTTAAGATGAAGAGTGATTTTACATTTTTAAAGATTTTAATAGTTGCCTATTATGTGAAAGCAAAATTTTAAGTTTTTCTGTTTTTTATTATTAAACTTAATTTGATTGATCTGTGCAAATTCTTTAATTAAATTTCTAACTTCCTTTCTGAATTTGAGAGATATTTCTAGCTTAAGTGGAATGTATATCAGAGCGTACTGAAGTGTGAAGCATTCAAAGTTACTATTTACCGCGATTCAAAGTTTACTATTTACCGATTCAAAGTTTATTATTTACCAGCATTCAAAGTTACTATTTACTGCGAAGCCGTATTTCATATTAACAAGTCAAAACTGATGTCATGGGGATTCAAAACCTGTAAAAATTTTTTTTAATTCATCCAAATAAAAACTTTTTTGCAGCTACGGAAATCGGAAAAATTCATGTAGAAGCAGAAGCTGAACTGGATATTGTACGACAAAGAATTGAAAAACTTATTGCGGATTACTCAAATTCGAATATAGAACCGAATAGCGAGTGGAGATTTCTTGATTGTTAGTACATTCCTTTTCTTGATTGTTAGTGAAAACAGTAAAGATATTCCAATCAGTTACAAATTTGCTAATTACTAATTACTAATTGATTTGCTAATTTGCTATAAGTGATTTCCGATTTCTAGTTATGAGCAAAATTTCCTATAGGTAGTTTATAATATCGCTGAGTGACTCGTACACCATTTTATCATCCATTTAGCAAGTTGATAAATTAATTCGTATCCTTTTTTAACCACTTATTAACTGATTTCAATGCTATCTCTGGAGCTGCAGATGTTAGTAGCGCTGAAGAAGGTGTATTTCGTGTGCACCGTTATCAGGAACAATTCATGACAATATCTGATATCTGCTGTTTGGAAGAATGTATCCTAATCCTAAATAACGCTTTGATCAGACGAATACATTCAGTTGATGAAACTTCAACCCAAATTAAGTAATTTTTTTTCAAACCCTTATCATTAAATTGTTTAAAATTTCGCTCTCTATCAATAATTCATAGAGTTATCAAATGATTCAAAGTTTTGTCTAACTGAGAAATAATGAATATGCTTTATTTCGGTGAAGAAGTTCAATTGCAAATTAATTAAAAGAGTAAAAAAAAGATTGCTACAGATTATTATGGATGTTCGCAAGATGTTATGAAATGCTTCAAAACTTTGAAATTGTTATCCAGCAGAACAATACACAATTTAAAACAAAATTTCATAATTATTTTTTAAATATTCATGAACTCATCTAGGCAATTTCAGGAATAACATATCAGATCATAACATTTCCATGAACAGTGGTGGTACATTCGATGTCGTATTCCAGTGTGATACCCATGAAGCGCATTTATAACAAAAATCAAATATAATTGACACTTATTTAGTTTAAATTTAATGATTTATTCTTTTAGAATACTTGTTTATAAAACTTGTAAACTGAAATCTGTAAACAAAAAATTTTTATTTTAATGCAGAAGATTCCACATGCATGAAAACTTTTCTATGGGAAGAAAGGAATTCAAAGTGAAATACTGAATCTAAATTTACGGAAGGTGAGAGAAACTCTGTCATACATATGGGATCAAATAGTTCATCATTGTTTCGTTACCACAATATCACCATTAACGATGTTTTCTCTTCATTTTTAACTCTTCGTTCTTGTTTCATCGTAAATTTTAAATAACTCGCCAAATTTATCATAGTCTGAAAATATAATAATATTAGTTCTACGGTTTTTGCACTATTATAGATGATACCCTCTACTCTTTACATCTTTAAACTGAATTGTTTTCGATAAATTAATTAGACTATTTTGAAATGTGGAACGCTAATGTCATATTAGATTTTATTCTTATCAGAAAGCAACAAGTGATTTCAAGATTTTTTTAAGATTAAGAGCTTTCAAGATTCCACTTTCTCACGAATTGAAAATTTTCTTTCCTTAAATTTTCCCTTCCCTTTTTGGCAAAAAAAAATTAAACGAAATGCAAATTTTTGAATACAGCTACTATAAAAAGTGATACTGAAATGTTTGTAATCATTGTTTGAAGCCATATCCATCATTAAGCGGTTTACTCGCCAGTCACAAATGACTATAGTAGGGGATTATGGGCATCACGACAGGAAACAATTGAAGATTCGAGGAGGTCAATCTAATTCTTTAACATAAATTTTGTTGAACCCTTTAGATAGAAGCTACTAATGGCATTTTATTTGAATACAAATATATTTACAAATTATCACGCAATACTTTATAAAGCACTTAAATAAGCTTATTACAAGGTATTTAGGACAGTATATAAAGAAGGAATCTGAAAATGATGAGGGACGAAATAGAAAAACAAGTTGGCGTCATTTTTTCATCGTCTGCTCAGTACTAATTTCCGCATATCTCATTAACGGTGAATATGCTCAAACAGTATGTAATATATGTACCACCTTACCAGCTGCTGTTTTTACTTACGGACAACTTTCTGACCATGCAACTCGAATCTTTGCTTATGTAAGTCTGAAAACATATTGCAAGTTGCTGTATCAACATGACAGATACATTGCCTATGAATTAACACAATTACTTGAAAAGCATACATATGTAATCAATAGGAATTTTCGATTATTAGAACATTTGAGTAAAAACATTTGAGCTATATTCAACGGCAATTAATAATAATTTCAAGAAAAAGCGATTGAAAAAAAAAATGAAGAGTATATCTTATATCGGGCTTATATCGGCTAATATGAAAATAGAGTTGAGCTTGAAAGAGTAATTAAATAAGTTTTGAACTGGTTAAATTCCGAAATTGGAATGTATGTTATAGTTGAAATCATTGTTGCTTCAGAAGGCAACACTTTTCTACTGGTCAATTCATGGAATTTTGATTGCATTTGATACCATATTTGTGGATGCATTTGGATATTTTTTCGGCAAATTCATTCTTCTTGTCGTACTATTTTTCAATGTCGTTTATCAGCACGATACTGCCAAAAATCTTATGGAACAGCAACAACGTCGTAACGCAATTAGTAATTCGATAGTTAACACCAGAACACCTGCCGCTATTTCGAGTTCACCTTATGGATCACAAATTGGTGTCAATACCGCATTGACAATTACCGATGCTACGCAGCTTTCTGCTGAAGTATGAATTTATTAAGATTTTGGCAATTTGAAGTTTCAAATCATCGCGCATTATGATATATTCTTTATATAATTCTTCAAAAAGAAGAAGGTGAAAATCCTAAAGATATATGTTGTTTGATAACCTCTTTAATTTTGCAGAGCCCATTCAAAATTCATCCATTGCTAAATTATAATAACCTAACAACGGCATATTCATTGGCTCATAGTCCAGAGATGACCGCTTATTTGGATACCTCTTACACTCATGATGGATCTTTAAAAACTGTCACTTCTACTGAAGTATGTTACTTCTGTTGAAGCAACGTATAGTACGTTCAATTTTTGTTAAAATTTAAATAAAAATCAAGAAGAGAATTTCATTTCTTAATTTTTAATACACTTCGGCTTATTTTTCCATATTGAAACATGAAGAAAGAATTTCAATTCATCTCATTTTTCAATTAATATTGTATATAGGAACAATATAAATATGGAATATATAAACATGCGCTAAATGATTCGTCAATACTATCAGATTCCGACGAAGAAAATGATCGGTCAGAAAATGATCGATCAGAAAATGATGCCGTAAAATCGATTCCTGCTGGCGATTGCCAGAAAGAGGATAACGAGGCTTGTTTGCTTCATTTTTGCAAAAATTTTTGATAATTTATTTAATTTTTATTTCCAAATTTAACAAAAATTTCTAAATTTAGAAAGTTCAAATAATTCGCAAAATCATGAATTTTGCAATTCAGGAAGATGGTTCATTGCATTCCAGCGAATATTCAACATCAGCGATGGTAATGAAAGAAAACGAAGAGACTCTTATTACCAATCCTGATGAATATGTAATTATTACAATTGCTTATCATTATCATTATCTTATCATTGATTATCATTGCCTTATTAGTGGTACTCTAATATTTAACATTTTATTAATATTGAAAATTTCAATTCTTTTTTCCAGATAGTATTCAAACATCCCTTTTCGGAAATGGTTACAATCTATGTGAAAAACAAACATAGTCGTCCAATAATGTGGGCTCTGAAGACTAATGCAATTAAGCGTATGATTGCACAGCCTACCTGTGGTACTTTGGGAAAAGACGCTACCGTACATGTAGGTTTAAATTATATGTTGAAAATGATTGCCATCAACTAGCAGAGTAAAAAATAAATAAATTTATCAAAAGATAAGCTGTGTTATAGTTAAAGTAATCTGTTGGAAAAAATATGAAATTTCACCGATGATATCATTAATTTTTTTCATAAGATCCTAATTGATACTCAAATTAGAGCCATAAAATTTTCCTTTGTTGGAAGCTATTTAAGGATTGTTTTGTAGATTAAAATTGGAGTTACTGCAGTACCATCTAAGGACTTAAATATGAATGATCGTGTTGCCATTGATTATTGCCTAATCGATGATGATACGGTCGGTTTTGATCGCTCATTTTTATACAACTCAGAGGATCCATTCCGTCGACGTAAAAAGTTTAATGTTTATTATAAAAATTAATGCATGAATATCTGACGAAATGATAATCTGGCGCCATTTGATATCAAATGAATAAACTCATATTTATCCATTTCTTACTAACGAATAAAATAATTTTCTTCAAATCTCATGTTTAAAGTAAAGGCCGAACTTGTTCACTTAATTGAACCAACTGATTCTTTCAAATTAAACTTTAACTAAAACACTAAACAGTGATTGAAATTCGAAGAAATACCAGGACATTCAATATCTTTTCTTAAAATCAATATTAGGATAAATTTAATACACTTTAATATTAAGTTAACAGCAAAAAATTTTTTGCAATGTTCTGTTTAATCTAATCAGAAAATAAATAAGTATACATAAATTCTTTTTTAAACTTTATTTATACATAGAGAAGAACAATTGCAACGAATGTTTGAAATTAAAAATTACCGTTTTATTGTATCATATCAAATTTGAATTCAAACGACTGTTTGTTTTTCATTTTTTGGTTGAAATAATGTTGCTATTTTGTCGTAAAATTCGGATGAAAAGGATTCAAACGAAGACTGTCCCAGAAAATTTGCAGGCATTCTGGAAGAACTCACAGAATCTTGCTTTTCAAAACTGTTTGTTTCAAATGAAAAATCATTTGGTAAAATACTTTCATTATTAGTGAAATTGATGGATGATGAACGGCTAGAAGTTAAATTCTTTGATAATTCACTCTCAGATAGATTTATGGCATGAATTGGTTCTGTTGACAGAAAGTTTTGGTTATTAAATTGCTCATGAATTTCATTCAATTTCTCGATGGATGAAGTGCTTTTTGAAGAGACCGCACTTGATATGGAACATTTAGACGGTTTTATCGTAACTCCAATAAGTTTTGTTTTCTCCTCCGATTTATCCTTTTCCTTCCATTTGTCTGATTTATCCGCAGGATGTGTTTTAATATTTCTCCTGGAATGAAATTATTTAAATTTTTGCAAATATTTTTTGTATGAATTTTTTTATTGTTCAATTGGAAGAAATTATTACCAACAGTTTATTGGCCAACGACAGAACGGACTGCACAGACCATACTGGCAGCATGCATAAATAAGTTCGATAACTGTAAGTAAACTTGCGCCGAGAAATAGACCAAGTGCACCACCTACATCACCTAAAATAAAGAAATAGTTGATATTCGTTTGTTATCCTAAAAATTCGATCGGAATTTCAAAAGATGAATCATGAATTCAACTCTGTAAATTTACATGCCAAACTCCAAATGCTGTAGGTACTCTCTTGTCGCCATGTTTCAATGTTCATCTGATGCAGGAAAACATTTACCATTGCAAAATTTTGTCTGAAACAATTAATTTAGTTCGAATTTGATTAATGTAAAGAATCTAATGCTTTAGGAATGAGAAATAATTTAATTTTAAATAAAACAATTGACTTATAAGTCTCTTCCCTGAAGTTTACTTATGAAAAAGTATGATCATTGAGAAAAATGAAACTGTATAAAAACTCTTACTCTACAAATTCCGATCCAAAATTAAAGTTGGCCAAATAAGCTGGTAATTCCTTTTGGTATAAATTCGAATATGCTGACTGCAAAAAATTTTCAGAATGATTTAATTCTTATCGAAAACTTCATTGAAAATTAAAAAAAAATCATTGAACTTTTATTAGAAACTAAAAATATAATATTAATTAAGGATTCTGAATTCCTTTTCATAAATAAATGATTATAAGCTTTTCTTTCCACAGATTATTCAAATGTACTTCATTTTACATCCAACAAATACTAATCATTAAGATTACATTATGCAAGCTCACTAAATTATACTCTATCAATTAATTAAATTTTTTTTATATGCATCAAATTATGTTACATTCAAGTGCATGTAATGCATGCAAATTGCTGCAAAATCTGCAACAGTGCAATGTACCTGAAATTCGTTCATCATTTTTTTGAATGAATTCAATAGGGCAATACTTTCATTTTTTACATCACCAAAAGTACAATCAATAATATCGCGGATAAATGCATCAAATTGTTCTCTATGATGTGCTGTTGTATCACCAAAATATAGCATCGAACCCATCTGCAACATTTTCTCAATACTTTTTAAGGCATAGAATTTGCTAAAATAGAAAATTGGAGGCAAATAACTGTCAATAAATTAAATTTATGTCTTAGAAAACAAAATGTAAATCACTGAAATGAAATGAATGAAATTATCATATAGTAAATGAAAAAAAGGACTTAATTGAGCACCTGCAAACCTTTATCATTGTTAATAGCAGCCATTAAATTAGGTAATTCATCATCAGCCATATCAGCAATATTACGCACCAAATTTTCATCCAAATCTTTTAGCATTGGATTGTACCAATCCTACAAAATATTACGTAAGACTATGTTTAGGAACAAATATTTGGAAATTGCTTAATTATTAGTTATCAGATAATAAAATGATAAGTACTTATTAATTCTTTCAAATGAAGTAAAAACAATACTTCATAAAAATCCTGTTCAAAGAAATGACGCATATTTCGAGATTGCATTTTTTCCGCCCATGCACGTCGTTGTAACCTGCCTGATTCATACTGCAATTAACTTATCATTCGAAATAAGTTATTTCACTTCAAATAAATTCAATTTAATTCCGTGAAAAAAAGAGATGGATCCAAATTCAATCGCTTCTTCTCTTTCTACGAAAATTTTTATTTAATTATGGCCCTTTCAATTAAATAATAAATAAAACCTGTTTTGCCAAAAATAAGATAGTATCCATTCGTTTAAGATTAATACCCAATGTTGATTTATAAAATGATGGACGATATATTCTGTACAATTTGGTGACAGTGTTAACGAATCCTTGCATTTCCTTTACAACTTCATCAAAACGATCACTAAAAGCTTCACGGAGTTCTACGATAGTATGATATTTCTTAGCACCATTCATATCTTCTTTTGGTTCGAGAAGCTATAAATATATGTAACAAGAATCAGTATTAGAATTTAATATGTTTTCACATAAATTCTATTATTCTATTATTGTTCTAACAAATAGGTATAAGCCTAAATAACATACATATAGGCTTATATTTATCCAGGCCTATAGGTAACAGTTCAAAAAGGCTTAAAATGAATTTGAAGACAACATACTCGATATATGACAGAAATTCGTGCTTCCTCAGTTGACATTGGTGGATTTTCAATAGCAGCAAACATTTTATCATGATCGGTAGGTAAATCACTAAAACAGCTGACCGATTTGTTCAGTCGCTCATAAGCATTTTGATACGTTCCATCCGTCCATCCCCAACCATTATCAATTAATCTACAAAGAACAGTCCTTGTTTATGAATCATTTTCACTATGCATGTACTGATTTAACTCGAAATTTTTAGAACTTCAAAATTTTAACAAATTCAAATATCATCAAATAGTTCCATAAGCTTTTGATTAAACACAGCTTTCATCGGTGCATTTTAAAGGAAAGATTGGAGGAAGAATATGTCAATTTAATTCTGCAACACTATCGATTAACGCAAGAATTAGATAGTTCTGAGTATTCTTAATGGACAGTTAATTAATTTTAAAATTAATTTGATAAAAAACAAGACAGTGTTACCTTTGTGTTGCTTCTCGTAGCTTCAGTATCATTCGTTTCGTTCTCAGTCTTATATCCTCTTGATATCGAGATTGCTTTTCATAGGCACGTTGAGCTTCACGCTTGATTTGCCTAACCTTGAAATGATTCTTTTTCTCGATCAGTAAAAACACTTTCAGATTTTATATTAAATTAATACCTGTTTATTGCTTAGGAGTTGATTCTCTTCACATTGGAAATGTTCATCACGCTGAAGCTCCATGTTTTTTACCTTGAAATTTTAAAAATTTAAATCGATTAATTGAAATGATCAAGATTTTAATAACGAAATTCTATTAAGTGGAAGGACCCTAATATAGTAGTGTAACTCAACTTTAATGTTTTCAATTTTCAATTAAAATTTAGTAAAGACAAATATTTCAATGTTAACATGATTGCTTAAATGTTATTGATTGCTTAGAAGTTTCGGGTCAAACCAATTTTTTGGCAATGATGTTTATGTAATTAAGATGCTAAATTTGAAATATCCACTCAGACTGCAATGTGCTTGTTGCGCAAACATCATTACTTAAAATGTCATATAAATTTCAAAAAACCAGTCGATCCGCTTTTGCAAAAAAAGCAAATATTATTTACAACAGATGAGACCGAAGTTAGCATCGATGGAAACTGTTACTGACTGAAATCTTATAAAATTTCAAATTCAATTCCACATCAGCCAGGTAAACATACTACCAAATAATTTCATCATATATAAAATGTATACTTCATTTTCGACATCGTAGTCATCAATAACATCCTCCACATCATCTTCTTCGGCGGTATCGATCAGCGATGGAAATATACTATTTGGTAGTAAAGTCATATCTTGCCAAGCTGTATAATCAATTTGATCACATGGTGAAAGACAACCAGATCGATTAAAACTTCTTTTTTTACCGAATTGTAAAGTGGGTAATGCGCACGTGAAATATTGATCCACGTTGCAAAAACTATATGCTGAAATTATATCTATCTTTGATACAAGAAAGAATTTATAGGATATGAAGATGAACTGGAAATCAATAATGAATATTTAGCTTTTCTTTTAATAACAGACAAATATTCTAAACTCTTATCATTTTTAAATTATCATTTCTTTCACACAAAAAAAATTTTCTTTAAAAAAAGATAGAAATTAAATGACCTCCCGGATTTGGATTATATGCTCTCCTCATTGAACATTTGCATTTTTTTTCAATTTCATGCAAATATTTTCGAATAGTACATGTTTGAATATTTTCTGGATCATCAACTGCCAACATTGTTGTCCGATGTTTCTCACTTTTTTCTACACATCCTGCACCCGAATATTTATGCCTCTAAGAAAGATCCGTTCAATTTAAATAAATTAAAATTTTCATTTCAATAACTTTTCTTTTTTTCACTAATTTTCTATGATATTTTTTATTTGAATAAATACTTAATAAAAAAGGATTGCCTTTTGCATCTTAAATGGAATCTCCATTGTATATCCGGGAGGAACATTGACACCATCAAGTGATGATTCCGGTACATCTGTTTGATTATAAATTAAAATTTTCAATCCAGGAAGGCTCATAGTTCGAAAATATGGCGTACAACTTTCTACTCGCTCATATCGCTCGATATTTAATAACAGCCTGAGACCATTGTCAGAGCCTAAAATTGAAAGATATGCAAATGTACGTCATGCCTAATTTTCTTCTAACCAAACAATTCATGCTTTGCTAAGGGGAAAATTTGAACAACCTTTCATCATTTTATGAAATATACAGTTTATAATATTCAGTATCCTATTTGAACATTTGAAAATTAAAAACATGAACGTTAAACATAAAATAATTTTGAAGACTGAATACTTCATTTTAAAATCAACATTTTCATTTATAAAATGTTTGTCGGAAAAACTGAAATAACTTTGTAATATAAAAATGTTTGAAAAATCAAATGTATCTTTATGCAGTTGTTATTCATATTACAAGAGTCTTTTTCTGATATTGTTGCATAACGTCAATCAATTATAACCTTTCTCTCAATAAAATAAAAATTGATGCCAACCACAGATTGATCCCAGCTCTGCAAACTACTCAAAACAAAACACATTGTTTCACGACAACCTTACCACTTGAAGATATATAATGCGGATTATTTGGATCCGTGTTTATGGCCCAGCAAAGACCCGTAAGTGTCCAAACTGCTTTGAAATTTGATAATCGACAACTGGTACCATTTGGCCAAGTACAGCTGACATCATATTGAGCTATTGTAACAAAACAACACAAAACAATCGAAAAAATTTTCGAAATTTGCAAAAATGAATGTAATTTATACTAAAATATCTGGTAATCTCTAAATCTAAAAGCATAAGAAATTTTTTGTAATAGCAAAAATATTTAAAAAACTTTGAAGCTATAATTTATTATTATTCAAACATTATTTTCCTTACCTTAGTATCATTCTAGACTTCCAGTGTGCCGCATTCCTGAGAAATTTTACAGCATCCATATCCCAAGCATTTTCTAACACTTCATCAAATACTGTCAAATTCATTTCGCTAGATGAAGTATTATTGTTTCTTGGCTGTTTTGGCTTGCGATTTTGAATTGCTGGACCCGTCAAATAGGTTAACCTAAATTCATCAATCGCATAGCTCTTCATTAATTAACCAGGTGATTAATATTATTCTTTCCTAGATCTTTGATATATTATGAAATATTTATAAATTTTCTATTTATAAACATTACTAATTTAATTCGTTTCGTTAATTACTTCAAAGCATTAGTTTCAATCACTCTTTCTAAAGACATTTTCAAATCTTTTTTGAACACAGAGTTTTAATAAACGGAATTAATAATTGCTTATATTTACCTGTACTGATTATTATTGCAAATAGCAACAACGGGAAATGGTATTTGATTAGGATAAGTTGCTTCGATATTTGTTGCTACAGGAGTGGTCAAATACATATTGATTTGTTTAAAACTTTGAAAACATGCTAACAATACGAATATAACAATTATTGTTGCCCAAAAATATCTGCAAATCAACATATAAAAATAATCAATCATCGAATAATCCCGAGAAATCTCTTATCTTCCAATTAATTCTCCCGCGCATTAATCTTTATGATAAACGCTGTCGATCACTTTCTTTGTTCTTCCATATTAAAAGAGGTGTGAATAATGAATTAAAATTGAAGAAGACAAACTTTGAAAAAGCATCATTTGTTTGTAGATGTTTAACTCCATCCATATTAGCATTTTCAATGATAGTAAGGAGTACAGGCTCATTACGAACATCTTCTGTTGAAATAACTGATACGATGGTTCCTGATTTTCGATTAGAGTCAAAATTTTCACTCCCATTCGAATTTCTTTTCTTTCTTAAAGAAGCTTAAAATTTCTCTTTAAATAAATATTATCAATTCTTTGATAAAATGATTGATCATCGTATCTTAACATTCAGTTAGATTTCATTATCCATTCTCAAAAGAAATGCCTAAGAGATACATATTAGTAAATGGTTAAGAATGATTTAAACTTACTTCTTACGGATCCAATTTATCACTTCACCTAAAGAATTAATTAACTTCCAAAATTTTTTGAACATATATCACACCTCATGCATCTTTTGAATGCTTTACAACTTTTAAAAGTTCATGATGATGCTATGATATTCTTAACTAACCTGGTTTGATAAAGATATAAATGACTTCCAGATGGTTCGTGACGATCCGTAAACAAATTTAAATGACTAGCAATATGATCAGCTGTTCGAGGCATTGCTTTCTTTTCGATTACGCGGTAAACAAGAAAAAAGAAAAGAAATAATCAGAAAAAAGCAGAAGTGTATTTGTAGAATAATTGAAATAAATGTTTATTACAATCGCATATTTGAAATGGTTTTTAAGTTGGCTTAGCCATCTGTAATTTACAAACAATTTTTATTTATTTCTTTTTACTTTTCAACTTTTACCTAAAATTTGAATAACACTCGTCGAATTCCTAACTCACATAATGTTAAAAACAGTTCAAAAAAAGGAATGAAAAGAAAATTAATATGAAATTGGGATGAATAGTAAGAACGATAAAAATTAATTAGTTTTAACAAAAGCAAATAACTAACTATGTGTGTGTTAAAGAGCACTAACTGAAACATCACCACAATGCCGAATTTTTATTTAGAAAGATTGTTGCACTAAAGAAGAAAAAAGAAAGAATTAGAAAATTCACCGAAAGCATAGGGTTGGTCATTTATCATAATAGCGAAGTCTGCTGTTCAATCTTTTTTTTCAAAGAAAAACTAATTAACAAAACTTTACTTGAGGCATATTTAAATTTGATGACCGATGATCATATACTAAATTATGGCATTTTCATTTCCTTATCACAGCTATTTAATTCGTTATAAAATTTATGACCTTAGCAGTATGATGGCAACTTCTAATTTCATATTCTTTACTCCTTTATTAAGTATTTTACTTATATTTTTGACACAAAGCTTTGGCTTATAACACATTTGAATATGACGATCAGGTCATATAGCAGCATTTTAGCCAACGGTTCTTTTTGTAAATTTACACCTGAAGAGATCAAACAGTAATCAATATTAGTAAACAAATACTCATTATAAAGTTCCCTTTTCTAAATAGATAATTTTAATTAAAATAATATTCTTAGCAGCTGAAAGAACTTTTTCAAAGTTAAAATAAACAATAGGAATGAATTTATAAGCTAATTTTTCTTCAGCAACTGATATAAACAATCAATTTTACTAAATTTTGTTTTGTTTCGTAACATTTCAAAAGACTTAATGTTAAAGTTAATTCTTCAAAGAAACGATTTCAGTCATTTCTTTTCATTTATCTTTTAAAATATTTACTTTTTACATTTTTAAAAGAAATTTTTTTAATTAAAAAAAATACTTATTGAACTTCCATTTTGAATCTAACATTGCAATAAATATTTTGACAGAAAACATTTTAAAAATCAGGCGATATAACAGTGACTCATTTTTGTCATCTGTACTTAACAACTGCACAAAAATTCTGAGAGATATTTGTCTCAGTGATAGGAATCAGATCAGAGAGTAACTTTTCTTTTCAAATCGTCGTTGAGCTTTATCTATCATATCTAACATTTTTTTATAATGCATTTGATTTGCCCTAAAATTACTGAATTGATCATTTTACTGTTTCATTTAGAGATAGAATGGCTTCAATTTCAAGAAAGTGCATGAAATCCGATCACAGCAGCTCTTTTAATTTAATTTAATTTAATATATTACTATCAGTCATTTTTATCATCAACCGTTTCCCAAACAATGATGACATCAAATTTCAGCATATCTAATAAATTCACAGCCTCAAGTTTCTAATTTCTTTCGATAAATAATTTGAAAATGATTACTAAATGATCCAAAGAAAATAGAAATCCGGAACAGTAAATTTTTCGGAAAAATTCTAAATGCTTTTTTATTTTTTCAGTTTTTTCTTTTTTAAATTCATGCAGCAACTTTCTCTATAATTATCTGATCAATACCAAAAATCTATCTCAGAAGTGTAAAATTTTATTTATTAAATATAATTAATTCAGTTTCAAGTTCATTTGGAGAAGTATCTCATCCATTTCACTTTGAATTTACAACTGTGCAACATTTTCCTACACATTTTCAAAATACTAATGACATTCAAAAACAATATTCCCATCATTTTTTTTTGAATTTTTAATTTTGAAATATACATTTTCAATAATTGCAATTCCATGGCTCAATAATTTACCGTAATTCCTGTGGTAAGTACAAAAAGTTACCGCTATTTGCATGTTTCACTGCTCGATACGTATGAAATAGCCTTTTGTATACGGTTCTTGATTCATCTTTTAATTTCATCAATAATCAAAAGCATTACAAATAAACACTGATATCACAATACAGCTATCGGTATTTGATACCGGCACAGAAATCTCGTCATTTAAACGAACGGGTACATCATAAGAAAAAATTCAAATACTTTGCAATTTTTTTACATCTCTATTAATAAGTTTTGTACTTGTTAAAATGCGCTCCTTGACTAATAGGAATTGGTCAAGAGGAAGACAAGAAGAGCCAAATTAATCAAATTTGAAAAGTGAACAGAATATCGGAGACTGTAGAATGTGATCAGAGATGGAAATGTTTTGTGTAAAGAAAATTGATTGTTGTTAATGTGAACGAATTTATCTTTTTTAAAATAAAGGATTAATAAAGGTGTAAATGAAATTTAAATTAATTAAAAAATAGAACAGGAAGGAATGAAAGAATCGAAAATTATCGTAAAATTTCTATAGTTTTATAAGATAAAAAATTTTTTAAACTTTAAATTTTTATTTATTGATTTTATCATTCCGAATCTTTTAAAATAAAAGCAGCAACTGAAAGTAATTTAAAAGCAAAACCAAATCTATCCCTTATTTCATACTATTAACAACAATTTATCAAAAACTTCTTTCCCTATGCAAAAAGATATGAACTGATAAATGTTTGAGAAAAAAGAATTCTTTCAATCATTGGACAGGTATATCATCGTATCATCAAATGTTAGTAATTATTTATATTTCATTTCTTTTTTTCACTGTAAAGAGCGAACTCAATTCAAATTACAATATTTCGTTATCATAAGTTAATTATTTAATTTTTTCCGCAACTTATGAATTTAAAGAGTATTAACTGATTAAAATAATTAATATTCAAATATAAAAAAATGAGCTTATCATTAAAGTAATCAAACTAATCTAACTTAGAATTTTATTGGATAAGGAAAATGATGAATGATAAACGAAGTGAGGTCATATTTTAATCAAAAATCTAGAGCAATGAAATGTCATTTTCATTTCAACTTTTTGATAATGAAAACTGGCAGCAATGAATTAATGAAATTTATTATTTTATATAAACTATTTCTGTCAACTAGAAAAATTTATTTCTTTGTATTTATTATTCTTGAAAACGAAATAATTTTTGTCAATAATTTATCAATTTTGTTCATTTTTCAAAATTAATTCTTATTTTTCATGAGATGTTTTTATCAAATTAAGAAATTCTTTTCTTTTAGTATCAAAAGACAAAAAGAACTTTTAATTTGAACTGTTTGATGCCTTATTTATAATAGTTTTAAGAGAGATTTCATTATTGAAAGTGGCAATGATGGCATTAATAATAATTATTTTTATTATTCATTCAAATTTAACCTGCAATTAATTAATTAATAAATAACAAAAAAAAAGTTTTTTCCATAGATATATTTTAGAATGGACAGAAAATTATTTTAAATTAGTTGCAAATTTTTTAGAATAAATATGCTACCAATATCATATAACTCTATAGATTTAATAATATTTTTTCTATTTCGAAATTATATTAAAATAAACAGGAAGTATTGGCCGGGTCAAATGATCACAGAAAAATAAATTATGGGAGAAATGTTGCTGAATATTCATTGGCAAACAATTTTTCCTACCAATGGGAATTAATCGTGCGAAAATAATATATCAAATTAACAAGTCTTTTGTTGCTACTCAATTTATATTCAGAATTTTATACACTATTTATAATTTTTGTTGAATTTTTTTGAGCAGCAATCTTAATTTCAGAACTGAGCTAATTCAGAGTAAAAGAATAAATGAATGACAGGGAAAGTAATTAGTAACTGTCTTCTTCATTAAATCAAGATGACAAATTTACTTCACTTCGGAATTATCGAGTTTCAATTATTGGATACTTTCTTCCTTTCTTCCTGACTTGAAATAATTATCTGTTAGAAAATGGATTAAAAAACGAAATCAAAATTCACTTTCTGTTTTTTATTTCTGAAACTCTTTCAGTATTACTGTATTAAACGTAAATTAATTAAGCAAATAACTCGAAAATCATAATTTTCATTCATCCATTACGACAGATTTCGAAAATTCTTCATTTCTTCCATTTCTTTTTTTAAATAAATTAATTAATTGATTTGATAAATTGAAGGAAATTAAAACTTTTTCAAAGAATTTTGAGATAAAATTATAATTTTAGCGTTACAATTATCAATCAATTTATCAACTTGTTATCGATTTTATATAAAAATAAACACAATAAATGTCATTGTTCTAATTATTGAAATATTATCAAATCAGAAAGACAATTATTCTAATTATTGAAATATTATCAAATCACAGAGTTTATCTATTATATCGAAATCAACTTAACTAAAGAAAATTGGAAAATTTGTTTTAAAAGATAAAAAAAAAGAGTTTCAGGAAAGTAATAGTTGAAAGAGTGCTGATAAAAAATTTGTCAAATACTCTAAAATTAATGGATTTTTACAGCTGGAATGAAAGTTATTTTCAAAGGTATTCAAATTTGCAACATATTGCAATTTTGTTTACTTTGTTGAGAATTATTGAAGAAGTAAAACATGAATGTTCAACAACATCCAAACTTTACAACTTTCTTATATGAATCAATCTTGTAAATGTGAAATTTAGTGTAATAACCTTTCAATGTCATAAAAACAACTTTTCTCAAAAATGAAATTACTTCCTTTGTTTATTTTTAAAAATATTGTCAAAAAAGTAACGAGAATTTCCATTATATTCTGGATGAAAATTATTTCTGAAAGACTGTCAGGAAGGAAAAGAAAAAAAGCGATATCTTTTTATCTTTTCAAATATCAAAAAAGTATCATTCGAGAAGAAAAGATAAATCAATAGCGTTGGTTATTTTTATTTTTAGCTTCATCAAATAGTAGCGTTATCAGCTTCGC